CTGGGTGGGGGTATGTGTTTGTGTGTCGGTATGTGGGGTTTATGTGGGTGGTCACAGGGGGAGGGGGTATCGCTGACATAGGGTTTTAGGTTGGGGGGGGGCTTTTGTCATTAATTTCTTGACCAAATCTCCTTGAATTTTTCAAATTTCTCCTTGAAACCTCCTTGAATTTGATGGGAAGTTCATTGCAGGCACCCTGTGTATGAAAACGCTGGCTTTTTGCATGGATGATTAGAGTTATGTGTCAGTTATTCCAACTCTGCCCTCTATTTAGAGGCCCAAACATAAACTTATTCCTGTATGTAGTATAGGGTTTTACGGCGCTCGCAACTGCTAAGGTCATCTGAGCGCAAACTTATTCCTGTAAAAGTTTTGTCTTGCTTACTTGCCTCATAAAAGGGAACCAGGACCCCCTCCTCAGTGCCCCTTATGACTGATTTGCCGTTGATCCCGATTTTTTTCACCAGATCCTGATTTTTTTAACTCTAAAATCCTGAGTTTTAGATTCCATAGAGTGGCAGGTCTGTATTATCTCAAAGCTTGATCATTTGTAGTGCATTTGATGGAAATTATGATAGCTTTCACAGTCATTTTGTGGTTAAAGCTTCAATATAGCCCAAAAATATCAGGCTGCAATGGTTGTTGGGTGAAGAATAGCTCAGGCTCAAGACTCAAGTGAGTTAAGTACTTTGTACATTGTGGGTGGTTGGCGGGTGCTCTGGTGTGGTTTGCTTCTTCTTTCCTTTGAAACATCTACCGTCCATTTCTCCCCTTCTTTTTTATGTATGTTACTCTCTTGTGACACTTCTAATCTTCTGGCACTCATATGGCCTTATGCAGTTGCGAGTGCTGTAAAACCTCTACTAAAACTAATACTAAAATTTTGTACATTCAGCTTTTTGTGACCTTTGTTTCTTCCCCCCCCCCCCCCCCCCCCCCCCCCCCCCCCTCTCTCTCTCTCTCTCTCTCTCTCTCTCTCTCTCTCTCTCTCTCTCTCCCCCTCTCCCTCCACAGATCATCGAGTGCTCGGATCTACAGACTCTGATCTACTGCATCCACTCGTTCTTGTCCGCCAAACTGTCCACGGTAGACCCAACCTTCTTAGGAAATCACTGAGGCCAGGACTACGGACTACACCTTCATCGCCTTGATGACTACTTCATCTCTCCTGGCCACAACTTTCTTAGGAAATCACTGTAGCCAGGACTACACCTTCATCCGCATCTGTCCTGACCACATATATCATCACTTCTTAGGAAATCACTGAGGCCAGGACTACAACTTCATCACTTGTGGCCACAACTTCATCCCTCTGGACACATTTTCTGAATCGGTCACCCATTCCGTTAGTGTGTTGTTTCAACCTACTCGCGTGCTAGACTCAGTATTTCTGACCTTTGACCGGCATACTTTTCCCAGTATTTCCTGTAGGTGTTTGACCCATATATTTATCCCAGTATTTCTTCCCCTTTCTCCTACATATCTAGACCACTTTCTCTATAGTTTGTAGTGTATATTTGACCCAGTTTCCCCCCAATAGTTTACCCACCTATTTAACTTGACTTCCCTGTTCGTGTTACATTTTTACCCAGTTTTTCCCGTATCATCAGGGTCATTTCACAAACATCTAAGTCTTTTTTAAAATAAGTTTTGAGAAAGTTGAAATAAATGAGAGTGGCTGGTTCAGAGCCATCACTGAGGCACTCGTTATTTTCCAAGTATAATTAGACAGGAGATAAGGAGACAGAATGGAACTGTATGGCAAGGTGTCCCGTGATGTCTGACTTTGAACAACAGCTGTATCTGGAAACAACCGCACACATTGATCTGGGTATTTGTGGAATGAGAGGGACGCTATAATGTATCCTGTACCCGACCTACTGTCTCCGTGCCGGTTGAGAACTGACCCCGTGTCCCGTGTGTCCCATATTGTAGACCAGTGTTTGTGGAATGAGGTGGACGCTATGGTGTATCCTGTACCCGATCTACTTTCTCGACACTCATTGAGGACTGACCCCGTGTCCCGCAGCATGAACAAGTGCTTGTGTTGGAGTAGTTAAGACTCTTTACACTAGCAAGCTGAACCCGTGAGTTTGATTACTTGGACGGGACTTTTTTAAAAATGGACTGTCAACGTCTGTCTGCTGGATATGTTTTCCCTTTTAGCCTGGGTTGGCCCTGACAGGCAAGGTCGAAGAAGCCGCCTGCTATATTTTCAAATTTGAGGCGACGGAGGAGAAAGTTTTACCCTGTGTTTTTTTGTTCATGAACTTGTCATTTTCCTGGACTCGTCATCTTGCTGTCAACCATCCCGTCCGTGTAAACGTGTCTGAGGTGGGACCAACTGGTAGTTGGATATTGTTCCAAATGACTATGAGCAAGGGTGGTTGTGTAGAAGTTTGACTCCTCAACTTCCTCTCCCACCTTTGTCAATGTTGATGTGAGTCCTTCGCTAGTTCCCCCGTACGCCAACAGTTTCTTGTTAGTTCTTCAAGTCCTATCAGTACCACCCCCACCCCACCCCACTCCACCATTTGACTCATAGCTAGATCTGTTTGTAGATCTTCTGTTTTGGTAATGCTGTTCACATTATAATGAACAATGACATGGTTGTTTCATTGATAAGGGTGAGGTTGAGGGGGGTGGGGGGGGTGATGGTGGTAACTGAAGTGGTATTATGCAAAGTGTACTGACAAAATAAGTTACTTCTCAAATGTTAGCCCTATGGACCGAGATATGCCAAATTTATAGGTTGAGTTTGTACAATATATTTGTATGAAATGATAAAAAAAAGACATCCTGTTAAACTTGAAGAAAATGGCCTCAGTTAAAAATCTAAAAATTTGACCCCTGTGTCGATTTCCGAACAATATGTCCAATGGTGGTGTGCGAGCAGTAGCTCATTTTGTTGCCGCTCCTTACAGTTAACAATGGCAAGGTTGTTTTTTTATAGGGCAGACTTGGTAGCTGAAGTGATATCTTGTTCTGCTTCTACAGTCCATCGTAGCTGAAGTGATGTATATGTTCTGCTTCTACAGTCCATCGTAGCTGAAGTGATGTATATGTTCTGCTTCTACAGTCCATCGTAGCTGAAGTGATATCTTGTTCTGCTTCTACAGTCCATCGTAGCTGAAGTGATGTATATGTTATTCTTCTTCTGTTGCCCTTGGGTGCTAGCATCCTTCTCTAGTCCAGTTTCGAAACGTGACCAACAACAGGGCCAAAGACAGAAGTGATGTTTGGATGTGAAGACGAAGTAATGGTCACAGTGGACACATGGCACAGGGGGAGAAATGTTGTTGTTATACAAGGGAACGTCAGAGTCATGGAATAGATCTGTGTTTTCTTGCAGGCTGGTTCATGAGTCATGTGGAAACTGCGGTGATGAATGACTGGGTGTTGTTGTGTCTTTTGCTGTATACACAAAGGTGGCGTCCAGTAACTCATCTTTTTTCTCCCTCTGTCTGTGTCTGTCTTTTCTACTCTTTGTTCTTTTCCTCCCTGGGTGGTACAGCTCATCGTCACTTCAGGGCGGATAAACTGTTGTTGTTGTTATTGTTAATATTATTCATTCTAATGACTCTTTGTTTAGTAAGCTATCAGTCACATTGAAATTGTTGGACTCTCTCTCTGTTTTCTCAGTGATACGACAAATTGTGAAGCTTCTCCTGTGATGTCCCTGAAGGAAAAATTGCTATATGTTGCTGCCTCTTTTCTTTATAGCTAGCTGTCCCTCATTTTTTTCTTCTTTGTCGTTATAAAAGGAAAAAACAATTATTGATTATCTGGAATGCTCCCTTTTCAGATCGGAAAAAAATTTCTGGAGTTGTACCGACTTAATCTTAATACGAGCAGCGCTTCGGTAACACAAGTCATCAAGTTTTGTGAGCCTCAAGATAGTGAAACTGGAGAGAGAAACACGAGAATGCTTGTGTGTGATTGCAGACTGGAGAGAGGCATGGCCTGTGAACTGTTGGCCTACATTTATTGTGTCTGCAGGGAAGTGTGTACAGGCTTAAAACTCTTTAAACCCAGAGTTTTTTCCACCGTTTCCCGGAGTTTTTTTCTACTGTCACCTAAACCTGGTGCACTATGTCTCATTATAACCTCAAAAGCTTGCCTCCAACCTCTAAATTTCGGAAACGAAAGCTTAACTAAAATACTTGGATTGAGAATAGTTCCAAGAAACAAGAAGAAACTATCACTAAAAGAAATGAAACAGTTGTCTCTAGTATTGGACGCTCCCAGCGTCTGATGGGGAACAGGGTTATTACCGCCAGACATTCCCAGCCTGCAATGGGGTTCAAAGAGTTCCACTGGAGTCTGCCATGCTTTCTGGGTTCCTCTCACAGGAATAGTGGAAGTGATATCCTGCAACATTTATGCAGAATGTATATCTAGAGCACAGGTGTCCACCTCAAGGCCCGCGGGCCACATCCAGCCTGGCCAACAGTTGTATCCGGCCCGCGAGAGGACTGTAGGAACAGTGCAGCCTCTCTAGAACCACATCGTCGGGACCAGAAAAAAAATGTTGTTATAGAGAGTTGTCGTTATAGAGAGTTGTCGTTATAGTTGTCGTTATAGAGAGTTGTCGTTATAGTTGTCGTTATAGAGAGTTGTCGTTATAGAGAGTTGTCGTTATAGAGAGTTGTCGTTATAGAGAGTTGTCGTTGTAGTTGTCGTTATAGAGAGTTGTCGTTATAGAGAGTTGTCTTTATAGAGAGTTGTCTTTATAGAGAGTTGTCGTTATAGAGAGTTGTCGTTATAGTTGTCGTTATAGAGAGTTGTCGTTATAGAGAGTTGTCATTATAGTTGTCGTTATAGAGAGTTGTCGTTATAGAGAGTTGCCGTTATAGTTGTCGTTATAGAGAGTTGTCGTTATAGAGAGTTGTCGGTATAGAGAGTTGTCGGTATAGAGAGTTGTCGTTATAGAGAGTTGTCGTTATAGAGAGGCGACGAAAAATATTACTAATGATATAAAGGAAAAGAATTGGGACGTGGGCACCATGTTGCTATACAGAGGAGCACGATATATCGAAGGTCATTCTAGAGAGGCTGCACTGTAGTCTGGACAAAATTGGGACGTGGGCACCATGTTGCTATACAGAGGAGCACGATATATCGAAGGTCATTCTAGAGAGGCTGCACTGTAGTCTGGACAAAATTGGGACGTGGGCACCATGTTGCTATACAGAGGAGCACGATATATCGAAGGTCATTCTAGAGAGGCTGCACTGTAGTCTGGACAAAATTGGGACGTGGGCACCATGTTGCTATACAGAGGAGCACGATATATCGAAGGTCATTCTAGAGAGGCTGCACTGTAGTCTGGAAAAAATTGGGACGTGGGCACCATGTTGCTATACAGAGGACATTGATATATCGAAGGTTGTTCTAGATAGGCTGCACTGTAGACTAGTCCGTGCTGGGAATCTCGTTACTGCACAACCTTGAGAACCTTTCTCCAAACATAAACTTTAGGTCAAGAAAAGATGCCAAACATCCAGCTCTGACAAAATGGCTTAAAAGCGAAAGTTGGTATGTCATGATTTGTTTCCGTTTGAACGTTTGCCTGTTCTAGTTCATATCATCGTTTGACAAAATGTTCAGTTGTTCCTCTGCTCAATGAGTGTTTCTCTAGTTCAGCTTGCAGTCTTTAATGTACTCTGAGTTCTAGGTCCAGTGTGTGTGAGACTGGGTTAGACAGCCCTGATCCAGAATGGGTTTTTCCTTTTCTTCATCTTGGTTTTTAGTGCATGTTTTTTTATTGGACTTTTGTACATTTCTGATTTTTCAGTTTGTGTTTACATCTTTGTCAGTTAGATCTGAAGTGCTCAAACCGTGACTCTAGTATTGATGTACCTTTTATTTTAGACTCTAGTATTGATGTACCTTTTATTTACTTGCTGTTCATTTTTCACTTCTCGTTTTGTTTACATTTTTGTATTTCAACTGTTATTACTCAGGTCAGAGATTTTTTAGAATACATTTTTGAGGGATGTGTATGTGTGTAGTTTTGTTTTTTCACAACCATTTCCTCTTTTTTTTGTGTCACTGCTTCTACTTTATGACTCATTCAGGTATTATTATGTATCTCCCTTGTGCTGTCCTCCTTGTCAAAATGCTGAGATAGATCGGGTTCGAGCCTCAGCTCGGTCCGACGTTGTGTCCTTGGAAATTGATTTTACCATTTGGCTTGGTCTTTTCGGAAATGGACGTTAAACTTGGAGGTCCCGCCTCTTGAAAATAAACTTAAGTAGATGGTTGGTGGATGCTCTGGTGTGGTTTACTCCTTCTTTCCTATAAAAAATCTATCGTCGCTATCTCCCCTCTTTCTTTTTTGTGTTTGTTACTCTCTTGTAACACCTCTAATCTTCTGCACTTACATGACCTTATTGTGTTGCAAGTACCGTAAAACTCCTACTAAACTAAATAAACTAATAGTAACAGTGTTGATAGGGGCGAAAACCTATACCATTTCACCAATTTTTTTTAGATAGATGGAACATAATTCGCCAATGAGGGCGTGCAATATTCTGTTGGTGTGTTGAGTACAGCTTCCCTGGGTGACTGTTCTCTCACGGACAACTTGACCCAGATCTGAATGTCCCAATGGGTGGTTGGCGGGTGCTCTGGTGTGGTTTGCTCCTTCTTTCCTATAAAAAATCTCTCCTCCTTCTCTCTCCTCCTTCTATTTTATGTTTGTTACTCTCTTGTAACACCTCTGATCTTCGGCACTTATATATAACCTTATTGTGTTGCAAGTGGCGTAAAACTCTTTCTAAAACTACCCTGAGTGTCCGAGTCTGTGCTGGCAGGAAGTAACACACATGTCTAGTCCCCACAGTTGTATGGCAGGAAGTAACACACGTGTCTAGTCCTCACAGTTGTATGGCAGGAAGTAACACACATGTCTAGTCCCCACAGTTGTATGGCAAGTGGCTGTATGTCACCGATATTCTTTGGGTTGTTTTCATTTTTCGAAAGCTGTGCATTTCTTAGGTGATATGTTTGTTGAATGATTCCAATAGTCCTGTTTGTTTGTAACACCACATGGACAGCGAGGTATCCTGTCACGTAGCGAGGTATCCTGTCACGTAGCGAGGTATCCTGTCACGTAGCGAGGTATCCTGTCAGGTTTCAGTTCACTCCTTGTTTTGTTGTTTTACTCTTGATTCTATGCAGTCAGAGGTTTTAGTTGTTACGTCAGTCCTGAATTAGTGGGAGATTTTTTGAAATTTTAGAAATAGCTTCGGGTGATTTGTTTGATGTTCGTTCTTTTAGAATAGCCTCTGTTTCTTGTGACTTTGTACTTGCCATATAAATAGACGCGGTCAGGTCAAAGTGGACGTGCAAGCTGTGCTGTGCAACATCTGCCTTGTTGTGTGTGCTTACTGTTTGTGAGTATGGCACGTTTCGATATGCAAGGTGAAAGGTCATCTGAAGCAGGGGATAGGTTGTGTGGTTGTGACGGTTGTTTACAGAAACAATCGCGGATGAGGCATTTTTACTTTACTTATGTTCTCAATTCAGATCTGAAGCTCATTAATATGTTTACACTTCAGATCTGAAGCTCATTATGTTTACGCTTGAGATCTGAAGCTCATTTATTTGATGTCCAAAGACTGGCGCAGTGTTTATTATGATCTTGTTTGCTGGTTTTGTTGTGGGAGTGGCTACCTACACGTCCTAGGTGTGTTTGTGTTGCTTGTTATTATTACACTGTTAACGCATAATGCTGACAACGTGAATAGTATTATAATAAATTATTATTACTACCACTGTGTATCATGTATAGATATATAACGATTCTGAAATGTTTACTCTGTGGGCGGGTAACGGGTGCTCTGGTGTGGTTTGCTTCTTCTTTCCTGTAAAAAATCTATTGTCCTTATCTCCCCTCCTTCTTTTTTGTGTTTGTTACTCTCCTGTAACACCTCTAATCTTCGGCACTTATGTGACCGTATTGTGTTGCAAATGCCGTAAAACACTTACTAAAACTGAAATGTTTACTGTCGTGCGGTTGTGCAGAAGGGAGGCCAGTATCAGTCCTGGCTTGGAGAGTATTTTGTCGCGTGTTCTTGTTTTGGAAAAACATTTCTGTGCAATTTGTGGACTTCGTTGTATTTTAAGATGGCCATTGATGGTGTTTTTTACTGTAGTGCTTATTTCTATTTATAGCTGAGAACTTTGAGTACCGTATACTGTTCTAAAAGGTTTTCTTTTTAGCTAAACTAATCGTCCAAATGTTTCTACATACTCGGTTGTTGAAAGTGGTGTCACTTTGCTTTTTTATGCGTCGACTAATGTTTCTACATACTTGGTTGTTGAGAGTGGAAGGAAACTTTGCTGGACTTTTTTGTGCGTCCACATATTTATTGACCTATTATGTACTCTAATGTAATATACATCATAATATGATATTACATCTCTGCTTTCTCATGGATTCACAAATTTATAACCCATGTATATATATATATCTCTGTATCCGGGCAATCATGTCACAATTTGCTGACCTAAACACAGTAAAACCTCAGTAGAACTTGCTCTCTTCGGTCCCTCGGCTTTGAACATTTTAGAGGGAAAGTCTGAGTTTGAGCCTCTGTTCGGACTTTGATTTTTTTCGCCCCCTCCTGCCCACCTAGCAGTAATGGGTACCTGACTTGGAGTTGGGGAAGTAAAGACGGCGTGGAAAGGAACTGGCTACCCTACCACAATATGCCGAAGGCCCAGGAAGTTGTCTCACTAGCAAGGCAATCCCCAATGTCCGGATTGGATGCTGGAACAACTTTACTTTTACGTATTGAGTATTGGCCAAAATTAGTTTTTTTTAAATACTTAAAGGGACTTGTGGCTTCAAAGATTGAACGATACAGCCGGGTGTACGTGTTAAGCTGTGTGTGTTATACTGAGATTTTACTGTGGTTAGAGTTACTTTTTTATATTTCCCCAAGTGGGAAATAGCTCTACTATATGGAGATTTTCCTGTACATATTTCATTGTGGGTTGTGTCTGAAGTTTGCACACTACATGCGCTATACACTACACACACTACACGCGCAACACACATGACACACACTACATGCGCTACACACAAGACACACACTACACACACTACAAGCGCTACACACATGACACACACTACACGCGCCACACACAAGACACACACTACACAGACTGCACGCGCTACACACATAACACACACTACACACACTACACGCGCTACACACAAGACACACCACACACAGACTACACTTTGGTTTTGACAAAGGCACCCATCTACTGTCGGTGGTGTTTGAAAATATTTTATATTATGCAAGGACGGGACACCAACGGAGATTATGGTCATGTGTATACATGTGTGTGTATGTGTGTGTATGTGTGTGTGGTTTTTCTTTTTCTTTTTGCTATGCTGCTCCTCTTTGGCAGGACCTTTATGGTTCATTCTTCTTCCCCTCTTGCCATAGATCGCCCTGCTCTGCAGGATGTGATCACCATAGCTAGTGCTGACAGAGAATGT